AGAGAGAGAGAGAGAGAGAGAGAGAGAGAGAGAGAGAGAGAGAAAGAGAGAGAGAAAGACCAACCTTATCCCTGACTTCATCGACGACGGCGTGGAGCGAAATCGCAAGGCTCGCCCCGTTGGCGGGGTCCTTGCAGAACCTCTCGATCTGAGGGACCAGCCCCACCGTGGAAACCGTGACGCTGCTGGCCTTGAGTCGCACGCCGGCTCGAGGATCAGTCAGGATTTTGACCGCGCGCATCACTCTGGGGCCCAAGGAAGACACGTGGACGTTATCCAATATTCATTTAGTATGCGGAACGCATCCTATTTACACACGCAGCAGTGATTGAACGCGCAATGCGGTTCACAAAACGTTCGCCGGAGGGACCCATACAGCACCACATGGTGGATTCACTCAAACAGCGTCGTGCAGGGGTGGTAGTAAAGAAGACTTGGGTGTTAGTTACGATACTGCGAGCTCAGCTTAAAGGACAAACTCAGCGAGACCCCTCACGATCAGTGCGCAACAACCGAGAGCACGGTGCACGCGACAGCAACCAAGAGAGCTGACGGACAACTCTTGCAGCCACTCGCCACCGCTCTCCGGCGCACGCACTTGTCAGGGAAGGGTGACATTTGTGACATCGCCAGCGAAGGGTAACATTTGCTACAATGCTGCGAGCTCAGCTTAAAAGGTTATCTAAGCCAGATCCATCACGATCGTTTTACAACAACCAAGAGAGATAAGGACACCTCTTCCAGATACACGCCACTGCTGCTCCCCGCCGGTGCTCACACCTGTCAAAGTTATCGAAAGGCTCGCCCATGCCCATAAAGACCACCCCGGTGACTGGGCTAGGGTCTCCTACGGTCTCGAGGTAGCGCTTGGCCACCAGGACTTGCTCTACGATCTGTTCCGCGAGTCGGAGAAATTCGGACGGAATCAACAGGTGAAGCACATGGAACGGCTGAAAGCTATGTAAGGGAGCAAGGCTATTGGCTGCGGCAAAGGCTCTCGGAGGAGACCTGGTAGAATTTGTTACCACCTGTAGCTACGGATTTCGAACCATGTTTCTATGGGGATGAATGCTAGACAACCGCTTTGCGAACGTTGGTTGTAAGCTTGGCTGCGACGAGACACATTGTCACACCGACCAGCCTGCAGGTTGGCCGCGAGGCCGAGCCTTCCGGGCTATTTGTGGCAGCCTTGGCCCTCTCCATGGACACAAAAAAAAACGACAAACAACCAAGACTCCCAAGAAGCTACAATGTACAACAGTGATCATGCTCCAGAGTACTTCCCGAACCACGGACACCGTAAAAAGACGAACGCAAACGCTCGAAGAAGAGGTCGCCTACTGAGTAGAGCGTCTGCCAATAGGAAGGCCACCCGCCTGTGCCGCCTGCAGGTTGGCCATGAGCCCGAGCCTTCCCGTGAAGCAGAACTGGCAGTTCATGGCGCAGCCGACCTGGGAAGACACGCACACCGTATAGCGCGGCTCCCTCTGAGGCCCTCTGCGCAAGTCGTCACGCACGACACACACAAAAGCGCGCCGCGCACGGCGACAAACAACCACGGTCAAGTAGGTCTTTTGTGTGCACGCGTAAGTGCGCGCACGCCCGCGCACTGTTGATACCGCTTTTAGCCGGCGAATACGCAACGGGTTGGGCGCGTTGGTATACATGCACACGGTGTGAAGATTAAAAACACCATTCGCCAGCAACGAGCAAGCCGAATGAATCATGAACAGTTGCGGCAACGGGTTCAATGGTACGCCAAACACCTGGACGCAGAAACATCGAACACTGCCCAATCTACCCTGGGGTTGTACTGGAATCATAGCGACACAGCGCGAAGAAGCGTCTGGGCTCTGAGTAGACCAGTCCAATTTGACGCTTCGTGACATACCTGAGCATGGGGATGATGACCGTCTCAACCTTCTTTCCGGCCCCTTCCCCCGACGTGAGCACCGACACCAGCTTGCGCGTACCGTCTGCCGCCAGCTGCACGCCCTGCACGTCCCAGGTGCGCCAAGGCAAGGAGATTGTCGTCGGGAAAAGGGCAACTGGTCACATTATAAAAAGTTCAAAGTACACGCCTGTCCTCAGTGGCGAGCGTACGAGTACAGACCGGACCTGTTCGCGTACAGAGGAGCAATAGGCTCCGCAGAGGAGTGCATACTTTTTGTGGTTCAAAACAGTTCTTGCCTCTATCCACTGCTTGCTTGCAGTCCACGCTCCATCACGTGTGAGCTGTTCAGTGTCAACACCGACGCAAAGGGGCTGCATGTGCCTTTCAAAGTTTCCCTCTTCCCCACGCTCGACTAAGCCTCCCCGGCCCGGCGTGCCCGACAGGTCAATCCGAACACCGCCTCGCTCTTCCTGACATCTCCTTTTCACGAAAACATGAAACCCAACAAAACAAGCCAAGTTAAGAAAGAGCCCTAGGTAGGAATAAGCTGGAAGGCGAGGGGGGGAGGTGCATGGTCTTTGATGCGCAGAGCATGTAGCTGTACTTGTACGCTACCTACTTGTACGCTGCCTCTACCTCTAGCTCAAGGCCCCCATCAGCCGTCGCGACCTCTCGGACAGTGTCCCTAGTCTTCTTCCCGATTCGGCTCTTGGAGTTCACTAAACTGCCTCTTCTGTTGGTTTTGTTGTTCGTCGCGTCGCCCCCGGGCTCCGTGCTGCCGCCGGCGCCGGCGCCACCCGTGGTCTCGGCGATGTCTCGGATTAGGCGCCTGTTTAGATAGGACGGACAAGCCGTTGTAAAACAAACGTAGGGGGGGGGCTGCTTCGGGCACAAAGAAGGCCACGGGATGGAGCCATTTGTTGTGTTCCTGTTTCGGTTTAGATAATGACCCGTTTCTCTATGTTTGACAGCAGTGTCTCTACCTCGTCCACCTGTGCAGGACTGGTGCGCAACACGGGCTCATTCGGGTTGGTCAGCAATTGACGCGGTTCACACGGGTTGATAAGCAAGCGACGCAGGGCACCGTATGATCCCGAGAGCAACAACGCATCAACATGATCATCACCATGATGAGCAACAGCAACAACGGGAAGGAGAGGGGATGTTCGGTTAGGGCACACTTCAGAAGCGATAAACGCAGTGTCTGCAGCTAGTGGCAGTGGCGTCCTGTCCCTCGGACATCAAGAGTGGCATTCTGAAGTTGAAAATCTGGCCAAACAACACCGAGCGAAAAACAACAAAACAAGGCGTTGTTACCAACTTCTTCCAACAGAGCAAGCCTACGATTGTTCCAGGGTAGCACTACGATGTTGCGGTATGCAAAATAATACGCGATGTGTTCACCAACGAATCAACGCCTTTCCGCGTTTCCCTGACCTAGGCACCTGTCGTGGTAAAGCCATCCCGCGAGGACTTCCGCCCTGCCCGCCTTTTCTCCAAGGTGCTCCATGAGCTGCTGGGTCTCGGAGAAGAGAAGGCCCTTCAGCATGACCTATATAGCATTTGCAGGATATCAACATGCAACATGGCACACGCATTTGGTGCCCACAGATGAGCAGAGGAGAGGAAGAAGGTAGAGGCGAGGTAGAAAATTGAAGTCAGGAGATAGAATCGAGGGGGGGGCAAGGAGAGAGACAACTTCACGAGCTGGAAGCACTCGACACTGTCAAAACGACCAAACAAAAGTAAATACACGCCTGGAAGCTGCGTTCCCTGCAGGAAACGAAACTTCTCCGAAGCAAGGCCTTGTCTTTAGCGGAAGAATGTATTTCTCAAGAGCTTTCCAAGGGTTGATCGCCCCGAAACTCGGCGGCCACGGTCCAGGTTATGCGGGGGTGCACAGCTTACTTTGCTCCGAACAAGGTATTGTCAGAACGACCCTGGATGAGGGACGGGGGTCCAGCAAATTTCAACGTTCATGAACGCACCCAGGGCATTCTCGATGCCGACATGTTCACCCCCGAACGCATCCCACAAATCAGCTGTGTTCGCCCTCGAAAGTACCGCAATCCAAATTCATCACCGCTGTCGTCGAGACCGAGGAGGCTTCGTTCATGCCTACGGCGTTGGTCATGCTCTATGCCGAAGGCAGCGTTTCCACTCGGTCCGCATACCGGATCAGCACGGCTGCCGTAGCGCGATTGTTGCTCTTGTCGGTATTGTCTTTGCAATAGAAATCGTCCGATACCTTCTAACATCCGCATTGGGCAAACAAATGCGAGCGCCTTCCGTAGTCATGGGCTTTTTGGTCCCAAAGGGGAACACCACAAAATAATCGACACATGAAAACATCAACTTTGCCGAAACCATCCGAAGGCAAACTGGAGTCGTCGTCCATGACATGGAACACATGGTACTTTTGATGATTTCCTTCGTGACACACCAAGTACCACGTGCCGGGGAAGGAGTGCAGATGCTGTCGTCGTGTAGGGTCCTTGGATGCGAAATAATGTTGGAAGCACAAGAAGCACCCAGCACTAGAATAGACTAGTAACCCGCAGTTGATTGCCTGTGTGCTTGGAGCGCCACGAACTGGGGATTGCACGATGTACACCATTATTCTGGGTAGCACCATTTCAACGAACCGGCTCTCAAAATCTCGACTCCCGACACTGAGGCATCAGTGGAATATTAGGCTTAACAGCCGCGATGCCAACGGGAGAAACATGTGTCGACCGGCACTGGCATTCAGGAAAACTCGAGCGCCACTGCTGCTGTTGCAGGTGCAGAGAAGCGCCTCACCTTGCCGTGAAAGTCAAGCTCGAAGTCCTTCGCCCACGTCGCCTGCCCGTCCACCTCATCGACAACAGGCCGTTCCACAGCCGCTAAGGAATTCGAAGCCATCATATCTGTCCGCGGTCGCTTCAGTGAGCGGCCACATGACAATGATGTCTTCGGGCTGGCGCTCACTGCCCCGACCTCGCTGGCGCCCAAAACGGCATGAAGTCCTCCGGTCGTACGAAATGCAAGGTGGGACCGGGGAAGGCAGCATAGGGCAATACTCAACAACACGAGTTCTTTCATGGGGCCCGTCCTTCTAGCGTCCTATTTTCTTGCACCTGCCTCGAGCTGTGTCTTCAAGTCTCGAGGCGTCTCTCCCTGCTCTTCCCTATCTCCACCTCTCCCAGGTGGTTGGTTCAGCGGGGCGACCTCTGCCGGTTCCCTAAGGGGTGCCAAGAGTTGACAACAAGGTGATTGTTGCGTTTTGGTTCCACCCTGGCTTTCTGCCTAGGCCCCGCGCCCAGGGGCGTCAGCGCACCCCCGCGCCCCAGCCCCATCGTTTCCCCCCAACGTTGCTCTTCCATTGTTATTTCTCCTTCGCGGGCACGATGTCTGAACGTTGACACGTGGCAACTACCGTAATTATGTCTACAAATACCTTTTCGGCATAGCCCGTGGAAGCTGCGAGGCCAGGAAAAATTCAGCTGTTGACGTCGAGATTTTGTGCGGAAACTTAGATCCAACGGCGGCGATGAAAAATCTTGTCGATACAACCATTGTTTAGACTGTACCACCACCCGAACTGCCTGTGAATTCTGTGCTGATTCTACGGCAATGTGAGCCGCGGGCTTGCTGTTCACGCCTCTAAATACCCGCCACGTGAAACAAGAACATCACATCGTCGACAGCGAAATTGGTCCTGCCGCACGCTTTCGCTTGGCCTTCTTGTAGGCGCAATAGTCGTCCGATGGGAACATCTTTGCCAAAGAATAGGTGCATAGCGGGCGTAATAGTAAGGCGAAGGGTACAGCGAACGCCATATCCACCAGATGTGGTGCTACCCTGATGCATTCCCCGGTGCTTGGTTTGGTTTTGACAAATGGTAGGCAACATATGCTGCAGGGTTTCCCATCAAGAAAACACGCTGATACGGGACCGAATGGGCGCCTGACAAGTAGACTGCGACGCCCCTGTTCCTTGCCTTAACCCAAGAACACCAGAGGAGAAAAACAAATGCGAGTGCTCTGGGTAGCACATCATGCTGCGTGGCGACCAATCCCCACCATGACAGATGGGGGATACTCGTGGCACTAACGTATCTATCGTGCTTGTGGCACTACCGCCATCTCAGCGGACTGTGGTGTTGAGACTGGGTACTAAGCTATCCCAGGAACAGCAGATGAAAAGGACCATGTATTGTATATCCGACACGCAAGCCCCTCAGGCAAGTAAGTTCGTGGGCTTTCTGTCTCTCTAGCACCAGGGGGCTTCTCTTACCCCCCACATACTTCATACCCACCCACGAAACCCCCATCAGGTGCACACAGCGCATGTAGATCGGACACAAATATATCCAAAGTACGACAAACAGAGGACGTGGGGCTTCTACATCTACTGCATTTTATCTTGGAGTTCGAACAACAAGCAGACCCTGGTGCTTCATTTGAGATTCGCATGTTTTGAGGTAGACAACACGGCACACATCAATTACGAGCACACGGCTACGTCAACCATGGATATCAAGCCCTACTGCTGTTGTGCATCGGCCCAAGGATGGACTTCTTTCGATTCGTAGCCCTCTGGTAGGGCTGAAAGGACACTTGTTGCCCCCTCTGAGCAGATGTTATCTGTGCTTCCAAAAATGTCTCCAAGTGTCTCCGGGACCGCCCTGTCGGCCAAGACGCTCTGTCGAGCGCATAGCTGTCGTGTAGTCCGCGCAGAATACATGTGCATACGAGAGAGAGACGGGCGGAGGTACAGCCACCAGATGCGAATCAGATCAAAGAGTGTGAATTGGGCATGACGCAACCACAGGACCAGCAGGTAGCAGGATCAACAGTACCCTTATCGTCGTTACGATGCTCCTGCAGAGCAACAAACGGAGAGTGGTAGCCCTCGAAAGGATCACAATCACTTCGGCCGCACGACATGCATCGACAAATAAATCCAACACAACGTGTGAGCGGTCACGAAACCGCCGACTCACCAGACCCAAGCAAGTGCTCTCCCGCGCCGACCACCCCAACGCAAGGCCTCCGACCAACCCCGCAACCAAGCAGTCGCCGGCCCCCGTGCAATCAGCGACCATCGCCCTGCCGGCCTGTCCTGGGCGCTCGAGAGGGAGCGCGGGATAGTGTTCTGCCGACAAGGCAAACCACCGACCGGACCCCAGTGGTGACTCTATCACACCCCGGCTATCATGGTCGCTCCCGTTTAACAGACCCCCGTTATGAGGTTGGCAGGGCCTGGCAGACGCTAGCACTACGCCGGCGCTGCCCAAGGTGACGACTACGTGCCTCGCGCCGTCGAGAAGAGTCATCGGCGTTGCCACCTCGCCGAGCATTGCCTCCAGCACCGCCTTTAGTGCCGGCCCAAGTGGCCGGGCATCCACCAGCTTTCCGTCTGCTAGCGCGGCCGTTGCCAGGGAGTGTCCTTCCCTTATTGCCTGCCCCCCGCTTCCCGCCTTCCGCCAGCCCAAAGCAGCCGAAGACATCGCTGCGAGCTCGTCCAGGTTTGGTGTGGTTAAGGCAATTCCCCCTACCGCCTTGATTGGGTATACAAGAAGGGAAGGGGGGGGGAGACGTGCCGTGTTTACAGTCGCTTGCGCGATGAGCTGCACGCCCTGCCAACCGGGTAGGCGTGACACGACACTGGATGCGGCCACGCCGTCGTGTCTGCCACGCAGACGCCGCGCGACAAGGACAACACGAGCACTACTACCCGTTTCTCACAAAGATGGAAAACAGCCTAGCTATCTAGGCAGCCTTACACACAATGAACAACGAGACACAGCTAGCAACTTCGCTAGCAATCTTAAGCGGAGCACCTCCACTGCTGTGCGCGGTTCACCTCAGCCGAGAAGGGGACGGAGCACTTCGCAACCGAGGTGGGTTCAAACACGAGGGGAACGTTCCTTTCCGCGCAAAGTCCCGCTACCCGCGCAAACCCTTCCGGCGGAAGGTTTCCATCGGCGATAACCACTGACGCTCCGTCGACAATGCTGGCGTGTCTCTCCACGAAGTCCTGTATATGCAGCGGCGGAAGCGTGCGGGCTATACGTGAAAGGGAGCCATTGTGAAAGGCAGGGTACGCCTTCGCTCGTTTCAGCATGGATCGATTTCAACAGTTCAATCACGAAAAGTCGAGCCCCTCATTGGCGACTCATAAGCTCTCTGGCACCCAATGCAGTGATTTCACGACCCCGCTTGGCACTGCCTAGCGTTCGTTTGCGGCGACGTACTTGCCAATCCTTACTGAGAGGTAGGTTGCAAAGCTCCTCCGATCCACACTACAACGGCGAACATCGACACAAATTAAGTCCAAATCGGGGGCTTGGTGACATACCCCCCCGGGGCGACATTCTCGATGTTATCATGGTATATGCTGCATCTCAACATTCGGTGGAGCTGGTTTCTACATAATACACCAGATGTGCGGGGAATTGTTTTATTCCTCGAGGTGTCTTAGCGTGTGCGCGGCGACAGTAGCGATGAGCACTCATGCCACTCATGCCTGGCGAGCTCTGGGCGTGCCCAAGAATTCACCGACGAGCCCCTCGCATGCCTTTGAGAAGGAAGCGTGAGAAACCATTCGCTGCCGCTGGAGAAAGATGTTCCGAAGCACCGGACACGTCGAAAAAGGGCAAATGCACGACATTCAAGCGGCCAAAAGTAACGTGCTTTACAGAGACTCTCACCGATGTCATCCTTTCCAAAACGCGCATGTCAGCTACTGCTGCCACCAAATCACCGTCGCCTCCAAGAACGGCCACGTAGCTCGCAGTCCCGGCTTCGTCGCCGCCGCCATCGTCACCAACACCACACGAACACCCCACCTCCACCGTCGCTTCCGCGTTAACTCCGGCCTCTTCGCAACCCGCCACGAGCCCTTTGCCCGCCTCGTCCGCGCCCACTACGGAAGCGAGAGTGACGACAGCGCCACTACCGTCGCTGTTGCTGTCAATGCCCACCGCGACCTTTTCGCTCCTTCGCGCCAGCAAGACCCTCGCGACACCCTCGGCCACGTTGCGTCCCACGCCACCGAAGCTCTGCCGCGTTTCTCCCAGGGTAGACGTTCCGGGCGTAAGTGCGGTTCCCGTGGGAGGTTTCGAGACGATGTCGGCCACGGACCCGCCGAAAACGGCCACACGGAGCGGCGGCGCTGCTGTTGGCGTCGGCCTGGCGAGGAAAGCCTCCGGGGCAGTAGGTCTGCCGGTTAATGCGGCGAGTTGCACCGCGATGTCGGCTCCAACCTTTGCGTTATGTCGAACCTTGTAAAACGAAATGACGCCGCTGTTAGGGGTATGTTCGTGACGTTCGGCAGAATTCGATAGCAAAAAGATGAGAGAACGAGATTGCACATGGAGTGAGCAAATGTCAAGGGCGGATCTGTGGATGCGGGTGGTAGTTTTCGACGCACACAGCTTCTGGGTTTTCGCTTACTGGCATGCTTCCACGTGGTCCTGAACTTGAGAACGAGGTCTATCGATGTCTCTCCTCGTGCACACACACTTAAAACGGGGTTCTGCGTTCTATCCACTAAAGCCTGTCCAACCAAGCTTTCCCTGGTAACTTACCATGTTGTACGACAACCCGTAGCTCGCCGCACTCTCTGGTCAGCCTAATCAGCCTACGTATGCCCAGACCGGGCACAGTCTACCACAATTCGCACGCAGCTAACCCGGTAGCACGCTGGCCTCGTGTGCTATGGTCGTTTTCTTCTCACCAAAGCGACGTTGCTCTTCAGCGAGTGCCCTCCCGTGGTCTCATTCACGCTGGCAAGCACGAAGGGGGTGATGTCGCGACCCTTGAGTCCCCTCGCTTCCGCCTGTTCCAGAGCCTCGTGAATCGCTGCGTCTATGCCGGCCCCTCCGGACATCGGGGCAGGGTTGGGTACGGCGACAACCATGCCGTTGCGCATGCCGAGGTCAAACCCGGCCTTTCTCGCGGGGATGGGAAAGGGTCGGTGAAATAGAGGGTAAGGGACACGGATGCAACAACAAAACTCAGCTTCTAGGAGCGCAAAAACTTGTGAGGTTCATTGCAGTCGCGACCCGAGCATCAAAGGAGACGACAAGGCGGGCGGAGTGACGCTAATCGTGTCGTCTTAAAAAAAACGTTCACCAGTCGTGGCCCAAAGAGCGCCAGTATCAACGCCGTGTGTGTGGTGTGTGTTGATGGCATGTGTCGGGAAGGTATCAATAGGTCCCGTCTGTACTTTCGTGTTGGTGGCAGATCTACTAGAGCCGCCTTGATGAAAACCAAAACCCGCCATGCCACTGAAGATTCGCTGCTGTGGCATATGCTACATACCTAACCCCCGTGTTGTCACAAAACGGAGCGCGCAACGAGAAACCACATGTTTATGTCATGCTACGGAACTAACCCTCGACCCTTCCACGCCCACCTTTGCCGCGACCGCCACCTCAGAAGGCGTATCCAGCCTAAGCGGGGACGGCACCCCGCTGGACGGGCTGAAAAAAGCTGGAAAGTCATCGGTGCCTAAGGAGACCACGGGGACCCCGTTTGTCTCGAGCACCTGGTTTCCACGCAACGACAGAAGTTGACGAGAAGCTGCTGTCGATGGTATACCGCCGGAACAGGCGGGCACAGCGACCCTCTGCACAGAAACAAACCTCTCGGTGAACAAGTAGAGAGTAAGTAGAGAGGGACGAGTGTGATCACCTTGTCCGACTGCTGCGGATGCGGGACAACAAGGGAGCATTCTCGTTCCACGGTGTCAGCAATGTAGGTAGCAGGCTGCTTTGGATCTACCTACATGGCATGTTGGGACATCGGCGAGAAACGGATAATATCGATTTTTTTCATCTGCGAGGAAGTCGGGAAAGTACCACGACCGATCACACCAACTGTTCCCCACGCGACGTGCTCGTCAAAACCACTCAAAGGCGATACCTGCACAGCGAGCGAGAGACCACACGAGAGTGCGTCGCTCCCCAGCAAGCCAACAAAATCCTTCAAACTCACCTCGAGAGTCTTCTCGATATCGAGGATGGATTTCACCCCGGCGCACACGACGACGATCGGCGTCTGCGCTAGCTCGGCAAGGTCGGCCGACACGTCGAAGGTCGTCTCCGCCCCCCTGTGGACGCCCCCCATCCCTCCCGTCACGAACACCTTGACGCCAGCCAGGGACGCGAGGTAGGACGTGGCGGCCACGGTCGTCGCCCCGTCGACCCCCTTCGTGAAGAGAGGCACGAAAACAAAGAACATTGGCGACGTAGTGAGACGAAAAATCGGGCGTGAGAGCAAGGAAGGCACACAAGAGAGGTTGTTGTGATCGTACAAAACACGCTGATAAAAAGTACTTGCCTTTGGTGTAGGGTCGCTCCTAAAACGATCGCTGAAAGAACCCAGGCCTCATACACACCACTCGGTCGCCCCGGTGGTCTAGTGGGTAGCCTCGCAGCCTGCTAAGGGCTAGGTCATGGGTTCGAGTCCCGGTAGAGAGAGTTTTTTTCTCACTAAATAAATCCTGGTCTAGGATGAAAGCGACGCGCTGCAAAGCTCGTTTGTTAGTAGACCATAATCGACTTCGTAAGTCGCGAGGGAAGGGATTGCTGTACCCTTCTTGCGATAAAAATACCTCAGGCATGAACCGCAGGAGGGGGTCCAACCCCCCCTCCCATGTGACCCCGGTTGGGTCGTCTAGCCAGTAGAAGTGGAGGATAGGGGCCAGAGGAAGATAAGCGTATTTCTGTAATTTTTGACGTTTTTAAATTGCTCGCATTAAAAAGAGCAAAAGTTTTTTGTTTAGATAAAGGCAGACGGCAGAGTCAAATGATGGGAGAAAAAACAAAAACAAAAAAAGCTCATGGGTACTTGCTCAAAATAACCAGGTTGTCCATCTACATCACCACGAGTTCAGCCGGTGCCCGTGCCGACACGACTGCATAAATAATGTGCGATTGGTGCAGACGTTCGTGATTTCTTGACTCCCATCCGCGCACCTGGGCGAGGGCAACGGCGAGGTCGCGCCGGGAGCACTTCCTCGCGCGAGGCCCGGCCTCAGCAAGAGACTCCAGTTGAGACGCCGTGAGCCCAACGTGCGGGCGACCCTGCAAGACGGCCACCGTTGCGGGGACTGCCCCTCTCTCCCTGATGATATCTTCGACCCCCCTGTTTGCGAGGTTTGATGGTGGGGCGTGGGTCTAAGTAAGGTAGTGGAAGGAACTCTGCTACTTTGTTGAACTACATACCTGCTGCATCCCCAGCAAGAAATTGGTTCCGTTGGTTACGACGTGGAGCCATTGAGGGTGCCGCTATTAGCTATATCACTGTGCAACATCGCAACGAGAATGACTTCGTGCTAGTGGTGACACAAACAAGACTCTATCATGATTTTGGTTGTCCATGGACCATAGGCTACTTACTCTGTACACGCTGAATGTCTGCAGCATGCACGTCTCTCTCTCTCTCACTCTCTCTCGCTCTCTCTCTCTCTCTCTCTCTCTCTCTCTCTCTCTCTCTCTCTCTCTC